TCGTAGTCGTCGTCGACGTCGTAGTAGTAGTAGTAGTAGGAGTAGTAGTAGTAGTAGTAGTAGTAGCAGTAGCAGTAGTAGTAGTAGTGGTAGTGGTAGTGGTAGTGGCTACTGCACCGTCGCACAAGATCCGAGTGCATGACGAGGGAGGGACAGAGGCATTGCCTCCGGCTGATCAAGACAGCAACGCCGTTAGGCGCTCCCCGCAAGCAAGCCCTATAGCCGCTGTTCTGTTGGCACGGCCTTAATCAAAAAGTTGCGACTAGTCCATCTCCTCCAAGCTGAAATCATTCATACTAGCATCGACGGTGGGCCCCTCGAGACTGGCAGCAATGGCCCTCGCGATGTCCGCTTCCTCATCCGAGTCGAGAGTGAAGATCGTGTGGGTGCCCATACCCATGCCCAGTCCCTGGAACATCTCACCGATCTGACCAGTACTTGCAGTCGGCCATGATCAGGCTCAGGACTCTCAGCATCTGGAGCAGCAGAGTTGCCAGCACACCAGGGTGTGCCCGCCACTCCGACCTCAGTGGAAGGACCATGGGTGTCCGGACGAGGAGGTCCTTGGCCCTCATTGGCTCCCGCAGCACCACCAGAAACGTACACAAAGCCCTGGCGTTCGTTACAGCTTCCTGTGTGTTCACGTCCCTGACTGTTGGAGCAAAGCGAGCAGCACCTAGTATGGCACAGCCCAGCTACCCGTCTGCAGAAAGAATTGTCACAAATGGTGAGCGAACCTCGTAGAGCATCACGACGAACACGATCCCGTCGACGACAGAATCGATTCCACTCATTGTTACAGCGCGTAGAGTGCCGGCCAAAGGTGCAGAAGGAGCAGCAATGCGCATGTCGGGTGCGACGATACTCCCTATTGCAACCCCGCACCTGACAACGACGGCTACCTCCCATCGGCCGCACTGAGTCCGATAGCTCCTCTCCACTTCCAGGCGCGGAAGAGGCGAAACGTCTGCTGGCCATGACCTGGGAAAATGCAGGCAAGGCTGAAGAAAACGCATTAGGTAGTGCAAAGGTGAGGTGCAGCTTGTTTGGCACTCCATCCAGCATGCGAGTCCCCGGCGCAGCTAGGAGAAGACTAAGGACCCAAAAGGCCTAGAAGAACCGCAGCTCAGACAGCAGGTAGTATAGCAGCTGCGGACGATGACCCTGGTTGCAAAAACCTCTCAATCCTATGCTGTCCCGGCTCCACCGAGGGAAGCCCAGACGACGTAGACTCCTCAGGTGGGATGAAACCAGCATCCTCGAGATGAGCTCGCTGGTCTGCCGTCATGTTTTGAAAGGGGCCAACGGTATACGCCACTATGATACAACGGCAGTCACGCCATGGCATGGTGCTGTGGAGCGTGTTGCGCCCATCAAACAGAACAGCTCTGGCATCCGTGCGATAGAGGCTTCCACGCAATGTAGCAGTGCCATCACTAATGACTTCTGAGCCACAGCGATCCTCAATCCAGATTTCTCCATTCTGGTGATGCGTCAAGCCCAACAACAGACTTTGTCCAGGCGCATTGTTACGGTCTTGGTGGGGCGAGGTACGGTTGTCTTTGTTGATGCTGAGGCTGGTCCAGTGATGCCCTCGGAAGGTGGTAAGGACGGCTGCATTGAGCAGTCGACCGACTGCCACATGTGACCAGGAGGTTTTCGAGACTCCCATGAAGCCCCCTTTGCAGTACAGTCCAAGACGAAACACCCGTCCATCCGCCACCTCTCGGCCATCATCTTCAAAAGGAAGACAACGAACAACCTCCCTAACAGCAGACCACAAAGAGCCGGAGCCTTCTTGAAGAAAGGATTCTGCCAAGGCTTCCGCCTCTGTGACGACATCCACCGCGCGCAGGCAAGGAAACGGGAAGGCAATAATGCCATCATGCCCCGAACACTGTGACAGCTGACAAGCGAACTCGCAAAAAGACTGCCAGGACTCGCCATCAAGTAGCTCACGTGCAATCCTGAAGATCTCATTCCTCGTCAAGAGGGTGAGCGATGGATGTTGCCTGTGATGCGGAGTCAGGGTACGCAGCTTTTGTAGCAAAGCCAGCTCCTCATTTGCCACCACTTGCATGTGCTCTGGAAGACATAAGGAGACTGGCATGTGCAAGTGCCGACCTAGGCACAGGGGGGCACCTACCTAAGTGAACCCCAAAAAGCTGAGCATACAGGCTGCGAGCAAGTAAGTGCGTTGGCAACATAGGCTCTGGACACAAAGCACGGCAGAAAGAATGAGGGCAGCACCAACGCAAGTAGCTGCGCACCCAGCGCAGAAGAGCCGACCTAGGCTCCTACCTTGCAAAACCTGATAAGCCAGCTGCACAGTCATGCATGGCATACACAGCAACACTAGTAGGCGATGATTGCACAAAGAGACGGAAAGTCGCAAAATGAAAAGAGAGACACGAAAAGTTGAGTTTTGTCGCAGCGTGACATGCGCTTCGGCGTACTGCAGCTCTTATGCAGGCGGAGTTTTCGGGCACCCCGCAAGCCCAGCCAAGATCACTGGCTCCGCACAAGCCCAATCAAGTAGGCATTGTTATCGACCAACCGTAAGTCGGCAGCTCGTGCCAGTCTGGGGCATTTGTTGTCATCACAGACAAAGTAGCGCCAGGATTGGTCAGGTTGGGGCAGGCCTATGAGGGTCATATAATGCCCACTAGTAACCGAATCGCCTAGATGATAAATGACAATGGCAACTTGAAAGGACTCGTGAAGCGTGCTAAGACCGGTGGTCTCAGCAAACACGGGAACGGCCAGTCGATCACCTGGCCGAATGCGTATCTCTGAGTGATTCTTGGCAAGGGCAGACGAGTATCTCTCCAGCTGCAAGAAAAGTATGCCCCTATGCTGTGCAACCGCATGACGAGAATACTGCACATGCCACGAATCAATCAAGGACTGCAGTGTGCGGCCTGAAATTGGCAGTGGGATGGCAAGAAGAAGCGTGCCTTCATCAGTGCATCGATCAGGATTGGAAATGCGGGCTTGCCAAATGCCATCCCAGGCCTCGGCCTGTGCATTGCGAAGGCAATGAGCCAAAAACTCTCCTGCGTCATGTTGCTGATGCAGTCTGGGCCAAGCTTGAAAGAGCCAACGAAGCGCAAAGCATTCCGGCAAATGAATGTGTTGAGGGGATCGAAGAATCCCAATGCCGACCTTGAGCCTTCCCACCGCAGTGCCAGTCAGCTCCATCAGCCATAACAGAGCCTGGAAGACACTGTTAGCATAGCAGAGATTAGAGTTGTTACGAAGCTTGGCAGCGAAAGGCTTGAGCCCCGGGCGGGCTCGGAGCAGCGCCCCCTGTTGCGCTACTCCATCCGGCGGCCTACCTGGGCCTACCGGCGAGCCCACGTCTGATCCCTCGGCGCCCAGTCGCAGAAAGACGTTGCAAGATATGCGTCCTCCAGAGCCTTCGCTAATGGAGGCTTCTGCGCCCGTTCCGGACGCCAACGAACGCCCTGCAACTTCATCACCGCATTCCCGCTGAGAGCCTTCATGGAATCGTAGCATAGCTGAGCCGAGGCTCCTCTCAAGCTGAGCTGCAACATCATCGGGACAACCTCCGTCTTGAACTCCTTCATGAGGTCGAGGCGCTTGGTGGTGTTGAACCTCGTTACCACTCCATCCCGCGGCAGGTGCTCGAGAAGGACGTCTAGGAGTTTCATGACATCCGAGTGCTTCAGCGGGGGGGTGGATGCCACTTCCTGTTTCTTCTCCTTGGCATTCCAGGTGTGATAGACCCACACAGGATCCAATCCCGTAGCCCCCTCCTTCAACCACCCGACCGTGAAGCAGCGCTGCAGCTGCTCCTCGTCGCGAAGGACTTTCTCCGCTCGGTCCCGTATGTCTCGCATCATCGACATGACGAGCATCGTCTTCAGCGCCGTGTTCACTTTCCCCTGGGAGAACAGGTCCGACCACGACAGAGCCACTTCCCGAAGCATGCCCATGCAACCGAGGTCGGAAGTATCGCAGAAGGCTATGAACCCCACGTCTGGTCGGATCCTCATGAGTTCCTGTTCGTGCCGAACCGACATCTTCACCAAGCAGCGAAGCAGCTCTTGCGTCTGAGGATCCTCCGTCGCGGAGTCCTCCTTGGACTTGTGCTGCTCGCTCCAGTGGCGCTTGCCTTGATTCCAGCCTTCCCAGGAATTGGAGGATGGACCTTTGCCCTTGTTCTCGTCCCGTCGCCACTTGGGACGTCTCCCTTCTTCCTTCTCCCGAGCATCCTCGTCTTTCTCCTTCTCCTTGTCCTCGGCGGAGCGGCCGCTGAAGACCAACTCCAGCTCCTGCCGAGCCTGAGCCGACAGGCTCTCCTCCATCTGGGTGTCGGCCATGCTGGCCTTCAGTGATGGTCAACTTAGCAAGAGCTACCTGAAAAGGGACGATGCAGCTGAGCACGTGGCGCCGAGGTTGCTGCACGCGGATGCTACAGTAGCTGCAAGGGCTGGTAGCTGATAAGCCGGCACTCTGACACATGGACTCAGCGACTGCCTTCATTCTCCAGCTCGGCGCATGCATAAGACGAATGTGCTGTTTCAGGCGGGAGCCCCACTGACCACAGAAAATGCAATGCTCGCTCAAGTGTTTTGAGTGCTGGGAATCAAGTGCAGCCAATCGCCAGTCTTTAAGCACAGCCGATTGAAAAGCAGGATCCTCGAAACGCGGCCGCAAAGGCAAGGATTCAGGAACTGCCTGCAGAGTCCGGCCCCTGGGCGACTCTGCCCGCCGGGAGGGTACCTGAGCCTCCTCAGCGGTGGCAGTTCCTGATTCAGCACCAGTCGTCTGAGGTTTGGCAATGCAACCAGAGTTAATGTGCTTCTTCAAACCCTCAACCCGAGTAAAAACCTGGCCACATGCAGCACATTGCGGCATTCCTGCTGTTGACCCCTGCGCGTATGCAGTCGCAGCCAGCACACCGGCACGAGGCCTTGCATTTTGACCCTTGTACCCATGCTTAACCGCCCTATGAGAATGCATATGCCTAAGCGAGGAGAAGTAAACCCCGCAATCAGGACAAGGGAACTTGAAGCCATGATACACCCTACTCTCGGCAGTGTGAACATCAGCTGTGGCAGATGCAGGGCCCAACGTGCACGCGCGCAGTTCGCACAACACCAGAACAAACCAGTCCCTGCTTTCAGCAGAGGTGACCTTGGCTGAGCGCCTTTCAAGCATCTTGCCAAGCACAACATGTGGGGGGTCAACCCGCAGCCGACTTCGCAGAGCAATGCTTGACTCATGCGTGATGTGTGAGGGAGATTTACCAATGGCTCGGAGTGCTCTGGCATCAAACTGCTCGAGTTTACGAAGAACGGTAGGCGTGACCCCCGTCGCATGTTGGCCATACACCAGGCTGCTACGGACGTAGACACGCACACGCTGCGACAAGCTAAGTTGCCGGTAATGCATGACCCGAGCGAGTCGGTGCTTGTTTGCCAGCGCCGCCTTCTGTCTGTGCAGACAAGTCTGAAGCTCGAAGCCGTCGTACGAGGCAATGATGCCCAAATATTGCATCCGCCGTACCATGGGGATCCTAATGGGCTGATGTGGGGTACCTACGTCAAGGAAGAGACCTTGGGGCGTGCGATGTTGGTGTCTACGTAGCCATCGTCGGGCTGCATTGCCTCGAAGCTTGACTACAAGCTGCGATTTTGACGGGTTGACAGACATACCAAGGTCTTGGAAGACTTTGAAGGTGGTTTGCAGGCAGTGCAGGAAAAATTGGAGGTCCTCCACCGATGATATTTCCCAGGCCAAGTGGCTATCATCTGCAAACAGAGTAAGGAAGGCCGTAGCCCAGGCCAAACTCGTGCGCTGCGCGATTTCATCGAAAACCAGGCATGTGAAGAGCGCGTACAGATAAGGACTAAGAACACAGCCTTGGCGCACCCCAACCTGCATCCTGAAGGACCTCTGATAGCCTTTGTGTCTGACACTATATCTGCAGCTTTCGTGTAGTTGGAGCACAGCCTGCACCAATGGTGGCGGAGCGCCAGCATGCTGGAGCGATCTTTGCAACACTGCACGCGGAATGCAGTCGAAAGCTCTACTCAAGTCTATCCCCAACATGACCCCTCCTAGGCATTGTGCCTGCTTCACTCCAGCACGCCTAGCGTGCACGGACGCAACAGAGGCATGAACGCGCTGCCTGATCTGTCGACAATGCCTAGCTACCCGACCTATGGCCTCATCAATAGCACGGTCAGGGGTGTACGCATACTGAGGTCGGGATTGAAGGTAATCGAGAGTGTGCAACTGCAGCTGGTGCCTAATAGCATTGGCCAGAACCTTAGAGCTAGCATCCTGTAAGCCCAACGGTCGAAGATCCTGTGGCCCACGACTAGTTTTGTGCGGCTTCGGCAGCAAGGCAAGGGTTCAGTCCGTGGCCTCCGGCGGGTATTGGGTCCACTGTGACGCAGCAAGGTTGAGCCGTGGGGTGAGGAAGGCAGCATACTCTTCAGCACACAAAGTCCAAAGTTCAGACGGGACACCATTGGGGGGGAGCTCTACCACCCTTAAGCTTACGAACCGAGTCAAGGATTTCCGAATGTTCGAATTGCGCAACCGGCTGCGTCCCGAGCTCAAAGGAAATATCTCTGCTGAAAACGGACTGATAATACTCAAAAATCTCTTCGAATTCTGCCTTGGGATCAAGCAGCGAGCCCTCAGCACTCTTGATGCGGACGGCCTCTCTTCGTTGCTTAGGGGCAAGGAGATTAATGATGCGATAAACTTCACCTATATCATTCCTAGCAGCCGCATGCTCAGCCTCAGTGATACGCGCCTCAAACCAATCCCTTCTAGCTTGACGACTAGCTTTGCGTAGTGCACGGCTGGCTTTCTTGAACTCCTCCGCTCGTCGCAAAGCACAGACAGCCTCCCGAATTCCTCTGGCAGGCGGGGCAGAGCGAATGGATGTCTGGGCGTCCCACATACGCTCAACTGCATTAGTAACGATCAGCTGACTACTGGGCTTATTAAGGCGGGTGCAGGACTTAGTAGGGTAGAGATGAGCACAATAGGCAAGGATGCGTTGGTTGACTTGCGCAAGTGTGCAACTCGACGCAGCATCCCGCAGTATGCAAAGCATGTGCCCACGAAGGGCAAGCGCTCGGGCATCCATGCACTTGAGCGATGCCCGCATGCAACGCAGAGAGAAACCTCGCTGCTCACTCACAGGGCGTTTGAGCTTCCATCCTGCGCACCACGGTATGCTACCAAGTACTGCATGATGCTTGGGTCCCTGCCTCCAAGGAGCCAAATCGAAAACATGCGGCTTGGACTGTCTGGCCGCCGCATCAGCGGCGGGACGTCGAACGGCCAGAAAATCAATCTGACTACAAACGGTACCGTTGTAAAAGGTGTGACAAACATTAGGACTCGCTCCAGACCAAGTGTTAAGAAGGACCAAGTCATTCTCCCTGACAACAGCAAGAAACTCTTCATCGGAACCCTGGTTGCCCTTCATCACACCCCGTCCTATGAGTCCCGGTAAAGGAGCACAGCGAGAATTAAAGTCAGCTCCAAGTAACACCAGATTGCGCTGAGGTATGCTACGCACCAAGGAGCTCAAGGTCTGCCAGAAAAAGCTGCGCGACTGAGCGATCTGATCAGACTTGGCAGCTTGCCAGACCCATTGATAGCCAGCAACAATGTCCAGCGTGACGTCACGATGGCTGCACCGGACATGTAAGAGGCGCCCCGGTATGCAGACGTTGTAGGTCAGTCTTGCAGATTCAACGACTCTATCAGCCACGATAACGCACACTCCACTGAACCTTTGTCGAGGATCTGCCGATGCCACAAAAGTCCATCCAGGGATCGCCCATTTGCTGTCGGCCCTGCCCATGCCATGATGGATCTCTTGTAAGATTATGACATCCTCTCGAGATTTGTGAAGAAGCCAATGATGTAAATGGTCATAGACTTCCGGCGTGATCCCCCCGACGTTGTAGCTGCGTATCTTCAACCGGCGTCTTGCAGGCCCAGAACGCTGACCAGAGTGTGTCAGCGGTGTTGGCACCGGAGCTCTTGAAGTAGCCCGAAAAGTGGTACCCAGGTCTTTTGCAGAATGCCACCGACCGCGATAAATTGTGCCTCCCCGCGCTTCAGCTCTTCGTCTGGCTCTTCTAAACGCGCGTTTTCGTGTCTCACTATAATGGGCTGCTTGTCTAGATCTCCCACCAGGTGTTTTTGCCTCCTCAGAAGAGAAAGCTCTCGGGTCCAGTGTGGAATGAAACCCAACCCTCGGGTTTACTGAGCCTGCTCGAAAAGAGACTTGCATGTCGGCCATGCCCAGTCGTCGGAATTGGGACCGACGCAGCTGAAAGCAGCGGATGCTAGCAGAGGTAAAAATGCAAAAAGCAGCCCACACACAGAAAAAGCCTCGCTGACCGACCATGATGCGGATACCTCTATCCTGTTGCTGAGCTCCAGCCGAAACCCTTAGTAGTAGTAGTAGTAGTAGTAGTAGTAGTAGCAGTAGCAGCAGGAGTAGCAGCAGCAGCAGCAGCAGCAGCCGTGACGGTAGCAGTTCTAGCACACCAGCAATAGCAATAGCAATAGCAAAAGCCATAGCCATAGCAATGGCAATAACACCGCCGTCACCTACTCGTCACCTGGTCACCAGAAGAGTTCTTGACGCTCTGTGGCGTAGAAGAGCTCAAGTTTAGTGGGAGCGGGCCTTCAAGGATCTGGTAAAGTCGGCACAGCCCGAGTCTTTCCAAACCAGCTGGAAGGAATCCGACACCATCGCCACAAACGTCGCCGTGAAGCGAGAGTTCCTCCAAAATGCGACTGAATCTGCAGGTTTTCGGATCCAGGCGCTGAAGGCTCTAGGGGTTTGGCATCTTGGAATACTCTATAGCGGCATCACTACACTCATCTATGCCATATTGCATCCATTGACATCTCGCGAGCATGAGGCCCGATGAAAACTCGGCAGGCAGTTTACCTGAATTTGATGAAGAGGCATTGCAGACATCTTGGTGAGATGCATGGGCAAGCTGGACGCAGATCAACTTCTAAGCGCAGTCCAATAAAAGATGCTGGTATCCGGCACCGAATGCAGCTCGGACGGTCAAACCCCGAGATCTGCACCTGGTCACCCCTCCCCCTACATGAACCTGAGCCAGGAAGCTCTGCAACCCTGGAAACTAGGCCGCTAGGCTTCTGAGCCAAATTGAATCGCAAAAAGCTTCCGCATTATTCCAGCAGTGCAGCTTTGGTTCCCTTTGCGTCCTTGTCAACTTCAAGCTGACCTGAAGGTCTCCCCCGGCGCACGAGTAGAGTCACTCGAGACTGAGGATTCAAGTGGCTGATGTAACGGTTCACAGGTGCAGGGAGTACTGCAACACAGAATCCACGAAGTCCACGTTGCAATCTCGGTATTCAACTTCAACAAACCATTTCGCCCGATCCTTCAACCCCTCCGCGATCCAAAGCTTCAAGCCTCAGCCCGCAAGTTGCATGTCCCACAACCTAAGTTCAAGTTCGCACCTCAAAAGAAATTATGAAGACGATGACAATGACTACAAAATTGTTCTGATGTTGACGGCCATGACCATAATCTCGATCATGGTGATGGTGGTGATGATGGTGATGATGGTGATGGGAAATGCTGCTGAAGATGATGATGATGATGATGATCATGATCATGATGATGTTGATGTTGAGCATGGTGATGGTGAACACGACGACATTCATGTTGATGCTATGACATGTACTAGAAGTTGGCCCACAAAGCACCCCGATACACTGTTTTGTGGCTTCCCCTGCATGCGAGGTGCAGAGCACACATGCTTGAACTACTTCCAATGCGCAGACCACACAAACTCGAACCCCTCATGATATCCATGATCGCAGCACGCCCGTTGTGAGACTCGCACATTCTCGAACCCCTGATGACGTCCGTGTTTGCAGCGCATCCGCCGACGCAGCTGTTCCAAACCGAATCACCAACTCGCGCGGTTTCGTTGCTGCTGCAGTACTCTTCTCGACTTTTGCACTCTGCCAATCTCCGAAGCTTTGCTTTCGGGGTTGGCTTCTTTAGGGTGCAAACCTGAGCTTTGCGTTAAGGGTTTACACTTTCGGGGCTTAGGCTTACATGCTTTACAACTTTAGGGGTTTGGGATTTCTGATTTTGGGGCTGGAACCTGCCCCACCCATCGGACCTCTTCGGTTCGCTCTTCCAGGCGAGCTCTGGCACGTTTCACCAGCATCTCCTGGACCCCAAACTGCTGCGAGATTGATCTCAAAAACAGCAAACGATGTTCTCGGGCTTTCCCGACAGCGTGCAATGTATGCATTCTAAAACTGGACCAAACCGAGTCCTAGTTCCTAAGCGTCGCGATTTGTTGGGTCTGGGTCGCCTTCAGGCCACCATTTCCCTCTACGGGATTTATGATTGAAAAACATGTTCAGGTTCAATCGAGGGTGTAGGTTGGTTAGAGTTTGTGCAGGCGAGGTGTCTGCTGCTTGGCTGTTGGAGGTTGCTCAAGATTCTAAGTATGGGCCATTCTCGGAACAGATTACAATGGAACTCCAAAACGGATCTGACTCAGAACAACCCTGACATCCATGCCGAACCAAGCGTCAAGCCGCCGACTCTGGCAAAGGGCTAGCTGCGGCGAGCAATACCTGGGTTCAAGAGCCCATCCCCCCGCTGTGTTTCCAAGCCACGGCTTCCAGCTTTTCTTCAGACGAACATCTCGATGCGGGGTTCACCCTTGCAAGCCATAAGCGCAGGAGATATCTTTTTGATATCTCTTGAATGGTGCTTCGAGTTGGGGGATCGGGAAGTGAAGGGGGTTCGATAGATACTACAGGTATATGGGAAACTCTTCAGGAAGCTTACGGCGAAAACTTTGAACAGCCAAAGGATGCATCAAAACCTTCAGAACCGTCTTTCAACCAAGCAAAAGCCGAGGACGCAGACCTCCGCACGTTAAGGGATAGCAGAATTTTCGAGAATGCATAACGCTTAAACCGTTATCCAAACTGGGCCTGCAAAGCACCCCAGGCTATCCAGCTTTTTTAAGCTCCAACTAAACCCTGCATCCTAAAGCACCCCACCGCCAAACCGGTGCAACCATAGACTCAACCCAAGCCTGCATTCCTAAGACCCTATGAATGGTTCAATTGAAACCTTGAAATCCTTCCGACAAGCTGCGCCCAGAGCCCTTCAACCAAGCTCCGGTGAAGCGAACTGTGTCCGTGACAGAGTTGCATCAACGGAGCTGCCTTCCGAAAGGAAAAGTGACAAGACGGAGCAAGTAGGGCACTTTGTCGGGACTTCCGAAGATGCGCCTCGGTGAAGATGGAACTTGCTTTGGTTGTATCGGGTCCACTGGTTGCTGCCTCCACGTGTTACAACTCCTGCTGATGGCACGTGGTGCTGCGGGAGAAACCCACCTCTGTATCCGCCAGCAATCTGGAGCTGCGAATAACCCTGCATGAAAGAGTCTGCTCATTTTTCTTGTGTTTATGGATAGCTGCTACTGAATGGCCTACTGGATGGCCATCGGGGCGTAACCCCTCCCCCAGCTATTGCCCCAGTTCGCCTCGAAGCGCATGGCGCCCACCCCGCCCCAACCTCAACCACTCCAGCCTCAGCTTTCCTCAAAGCCTGCTTTTACCCCTTGGCATACAGCACCCCAGCCCAAGGCAGGAGTCGCAGCGGTAGGATTCCACATGTTGGGCCTATCCAGGCGGGCATTAATGGCACTAAACCACACAGGCGGGTCCGATGGGGATCTGAACTGCAAAATCCCAGGAGGCACAGCCAAAAGTGAGGCGTCTGAAGACAGAGGTTGCATACCAAAGGCATAGACGCACCAGCCGGTATACTGATGTCGCCTAGCTTCGCGCAGGCAGTCCCCGTATGTGATCTTTTCCCAGGAAAAGGCAGAGTAGACTGGTCCGCCCAAGCCGCGGAAATCATAGACAACCACCTGCATCCCTGCACTAGGAAGCCACTTGGGGCAATGACAACCGAAGCATAATCCGGGCCGAGCTGTGGAAATACCGGGAGCGGGATGTGCGTAAAACGAAGTTTGAGGGCAGTCGTGGCATCCCGGATACCCGTTATAAGCTCATACAAGGGCAGTGGTATGCGTATAGTGAAGTATACAACTTCAGACTGATGCCCAGGTGAACGAACAAAACCCACCCCCTCTACTTCATGCGAGTTAAGGAGGGCTGCGGTATTGTCATCAATCGGGGGAACCGGGATATCATCATGATTTTCCAGGGCCCTGGAAATGGCGCAAAGTTGTTCCTGTCTCAAAAGACTTGCCCTGCGATCAAAGTCCGAAACAAGATCAGCAGTATTCCCGGGGGCCTCGGCCAGGTAGGGTGGTGCAGCTCCAGGCAAGGGCTCTGGGAGAAGCAGGGCGGCCCTTGTTAGGATATCAACCGCTTCACCCCACAGACTAGGCGTCGCCCAAACCTGAGAAGGGGCCGTCAGCCAGAAGATCAGGCACAATTTGCGGCACAGCCAGTTCCGGCCAGAGGTAAGGACACTGCACCTTGTCTTAGCGATTGATCGCTGCCTTCGGCCTTTATCAACATGGTATCGCGCTTGCCGTAGGAAATCACACTGTGAAGGCGATATGCAGGCACAAGAAAGCAGCATCGTGCTCGGAATGCCTTGGGTCGGGATCAGAAGCAGCCGGCCTATTGGGCGCCGCTGCGCTGACAATTGCAAAAGGAGGGCACGAAGGCACACCAGAAGAAACACTAACCACAGCTGCACAAAAAAACCCTCGAAGGAGATCAACCGTCCAAGGAGGTAGATCCCATGAAGTGACTTGGATCTCGCCTGCAAAAGGGGCAGGCCGTTTGCACTGC